CGTGTGTGTTGCCTTCTAGGTTAATTCTTTTTGATCTAACCTTTTCTCTAGTTCTGGTCCCCTTTTCCTATTGGCCTCAGTTGCTTTTAAGGTATCTGCTTTAGTTTCTCTGCGTTAAGGGCAACAAATGCTAACTAATTTTTTACCTATCCTCATACCTCCCTTGTGTGCTCTCGCTTTTATCATGTGCTCAAAGTCCAATCCCCTTGTTGTGTTTGCCCTTGATCTAATGTCCACATATGAGAGAGAACACACGATTTTTGGTCTTTTGGACCAGGCTAACCTCACTCAGAATGATGTTCTCCAATTCCATCCATTTATCAGCGAATGATAACATTTCATTCTTCTTCGTGGCTGCATAAAATTCCATTGTGTATAGATACCACATTTTCTTAATCCATTCGTCAGTGGTGGGCATCTTGGCTGTTTCCATAACTTGGCTATTGTGAATAGTGCTGCAATAAACATGGGTGTGCAGGTGCCTCTGGAGTAACCTGTGTCACAGTCTTTTGGGTATATTTCCCAAGACTGGTATTGCTGGATCAAATGGTAGATCAATGTTTAGTGTTTTAAGTAGCCTCCAAATTTTTTTCCAGAGTGGTTGTACTAGTTTACATTCCCACCAACAGTGTATGAGGGTTCCTTTTTCCCCACATCCTCGCCAACACCTGTTGTTGGTGGTATTGCTAATGATGGCTATTCTAACAGGGGTGAGGTGGAATCTTAGTGTGGTTTTAATTTGCATTTCCTTTATTGCTAGGGATGGTGAGCATTTTTTCATGTGTTTTTTGGCCATTTGAATTTCTTCTTTTGAGAAAGTTCTGTTTAGTTCACTTGCCCATTTCTTTATTGGTTCATTAGTTTTGGGAGAATTCAGTGTTTTAAGTTCCCTATATATTCTGGTTATCAGTCCTTTGATGTGTAGCTGGCAAATATTTTCTCCCACTCTGTGGGTGTTCTCTTCAGTTTAGAGACCACTTCTTTTGATGAACAGAATCTTTTTAGTTTTATGAGGTCCCACTTATCTATGCTATCTCTTAGTTGCTGCGCTGCTGGGGTTCCATTGAGAAAGTTCTTACCTATACCTACTAACTCCAGAGTATTTCCTACTCTTTCCTGTACCAGCTTTAGAGTTTGTGGTCTGATATTAAGATCCTTGATCCATTTTGAGTTAATATTGGTATAGGGTGATATACATGGATCTAGTTTCAGTTTTTTGCAGACTGCTACCAGTTTTCCCAGCAGTTTTTGTTGAAGAAGCTGCTATTTCTCCATTATATATTTTTTAGCTAGGAGTCCTTGAGGGGGAAATTCAGAGTAGGCAGATAGCCATACATAAGCAGGAAAGGGAACTGCCTCCACCTGAGACATTCCAAATATAACAAGCACCCTGGACTTATGATTAACCAACACCTTCCCATACAGGGGTCCCACCACCTTCCCATACAGGGGTCCCACCACCAAGCAACATGTACATCCACTGTGGCCCATTTAGGAAGAGTTCAGGACAGATCTAAAAGTTTGCACCTAGAGATTTCCTCCAAACCAATGCCTAACAGAGGACCCAAACAATGAGAAGTTGGAGCACCCAGCTTTTCTCTCCAGAACTGCCTACCTCACATCTCTTGCAAAACATACATTTAATGAAAGCCTCCTTTTCACCCCCCAAAAAATCTATTTCTCTATTGTGCTTTCCTTTGCTTATCCTTCTTTTCTTACCTTTGGGGCAGTGTTCTAATTTTAGACACTGTACCCAAAGAACTAAGGTCATTACAAACCTGAAAAAACACTATCTGTCCAATTCAAGAAACATGTAGATAAGACTACATGAGTGAGAGAGAGGGAGATTGTATTAGTGGATCTGTCTGAGGGGACTACTGGAGGTCAGAGAGGAAACAAAAATGTTAGAGAATGAAAAATAGCGAAACATTTCATTTATATATGAATGTAATATAAGACTGTAAGTTGTTGAATGGTAGGGGAGCAGGGTGATAGAGAAAGAGTAAGTGATGGGGGGTTTGATTGGATTAAAGCACAATATATACATGTTTGAAATGCTGGTGTGAAAAACCCTTGGACTCTCAGTATACACTTTTTAAAATATGAAGGACAGAAGGGTAAAACAGGTCTTTTCTGCAGGTGGGTCCCAGTGGGAGAGGGGAGGGCCTAAGGTAAAGGTAAGCAAGGGTGAATGTGGTGGATGTATTTGTATTAATATATGGAAACAGAAGACTAAAACTTGATGAAATTGTTCTAAGAAGTGGGGAGGAAGAAGGATGGAGGGTGTAAATCTAACTAAGATATATTATAAGTTAATGCATAGCTATCACAATGTATCCTCCTACACAACTATTGTATGCTAATAAAAATAGTAAAAAATAAACATGTAAAATATACTAAGAAAGATAAAAGATGATAGAAATGTTCCAAATCATTAGTAATTAATATTAAATTTTTAAGTTTTTATCAATAATCTATTATTTATTAACTATTTTTCAAATTTTCCATTTTTTTCCTTTCACGTGCATTTGCTTTTTTATTATTAAAGCAAGAATAATTTTAAGCCTATAGCTTTGTTTCTTTTTTTCATTTTTATTAAGATATAGTCCTTCTACAGGGGGGATTCATTATGATGATTCTAAATAGCTTTATATTGTACATTGGTTAGATCTCTCCCACCATCTCCTCAAGCCTATGGTTTTTAGAAAGCAAGCATGAGGTAGCAGAGCAAGTATAAAACATCCTATCATGGTATCTAAGAGCCTGAGATATGGATCCAAATTGCCTGGTCTGGACTCTGATTCTTCAAGATACAGTGTGACCTTGAAGTCTGATTCCTCAAGTTACTTTATGACCTTAGGCAAGTTACTAAACCTTTTTTTATTGTGCCAGTTTTCTATTTGGAAATAGTGCCTACTAACCAGTTGGTTAGAGGACTAGTAGATAGTTCACGTAGGATGTTTGGTGCAGAGTAAGCACTCAGGAGGCACTCAAAATTCTAATGTTCCAGAGGACTGAAAAAAGAATCTGATGCTTTATAGACAAGTAACTCAGAATTATGCTTTCAGTGGACAATTTTTCTTCAGACAATATTCATCCCCAAATCCTCTCATAATATTTTAGAATTTCCTCTAAAAAAGGCAGACAGTATGTACATATTTGTTTTATGAATAATTACTTCCTCATTTTTAATGCATAGGCCATAATTTATTGTGCAAAGTACTTTCTGGTTTTAAAAACAAGTCTAAAATCATAAGATTGTCAGAAAACACCATTACATAATATGAAATGACCTCATAAAATACTGCTTATGGTACTGAGAGTAGTTAATTTGGAGATTAAAATAATTGTTGACACAATCATATTTTTCTGTCAAATGTATATTTCAAAATCAGTGAAATCAAAAGCTGGTTTTTTACCTCTTGTATGCAATATCCTTCTATCTGGACAAATTAAGCCATCTCAATCTGGGGAAAATAAAGTGACTGATAACTACCCTAGATCTTGTCTACAACAGGCTTTTCGTAAGTATTTATTGGAAAAATATAAACTTCATCACTGCTTGCCAACAATTCTCTTTTGAAAGTGAGAATTCAGTTAAAATTGCATCATTATTAAATCATGACTAATAAAGAAGACCCAGAGAATAAAAGGGGAGTAAGGAAAGACAGTGAAATTTGTGTCACTGACACTTCCTTCCCCAGAAATGAAGTGTCACTTTCCTTTAAGAAAGAGAACATTGTGCCCTTCCTACAACGTTCCCAGAGGTGTTATTTATACTAATTTCTAATCTCAGTTTCCTTGATCTTCCAACCCTAGGAATCCTCCACTCGTAATAAGCAGAGTGCTTTTGTTCACATCTTGATTTGGTTTGCAATCTTTAGCTGCCAGTGGACTCTGTTTTCTCATTGCAGGAATATCTACCTACTTTAAACAGCTGGAGGACCTTGAACCAGACACTCATAGGCTCAGCTGTGAATTATGCTAGCCCTTATCTATTTCATCTTCATTCAGTCACATAGCCTTACTTACCCTTTGTTTCTTTGTATAGTGACTGTAATAAGGACATATCGCACAAGGATACAATGGAGCCAAATGAGACAATAGATACTAAATGATTGAGCACGACAAGCAACGTAGTAACGTGCTCTTTCTTTCCCCTGGGAGTCTTGGTCCGCAGTCATTCTTTGAATCCTGATATGCTTAATATCTCTTTTCTGTCTTTCCTTCCTATACTAGAAAAGCAAAGTTCTCCTGAACTCGGAATTTTTCATCTATAACATTTGAGCTCTTGGTCAACTTAGACTTACTCGCAATTCAAGTCCTGAGAGACCCGGAAAAGTGGATGAGTTAGTGGTGAGCTCAGACCCTTTCGGGTGGTGCCTAAGAAGCCAAGACCCAGGCTTAACCCAGAGGGACTGTATTGTACTTCCTTCCCACCTGTGAGTTGGAGTCTGGGCTCTGCCCATCTCCCTCCTGAGAACCCGCAAAGACTAAGCTGATCAGAACCTCTAAGCTGAGTTGCCTTCGGGAAGTATCAACGCCCAAGTCTCTCCCAAGATCCCAGAACCAGCCTGATACCACTCTTCACAAGAAAGATGAAATCAGAGGGGTGAAATCAGCACTGCAGGCGAACACAGAGCGTGCACCACTGGAGGAGAAAAGCCCAGGCCCAGGGCACCGCCCAGCCAGAGCTTTCCGGAGCGCCCTCGACCTGGCGAACCTCCTTCTCCTGCGCTGCCCGAAGGTCTGAAACAAGTGAGAGAGGCGCGGGACCCGGGATGGGAGGGTTGACGAGGGGGAGAGTGAAGGTGACGTTAGTCGCGCGGCTGCTTTGCAACTCGCCCTCGTCCAAGTCCTGGCCTCGCCAGGTGCACCCGGGTCCAAGCAGCGGTCCGCGCCGCCACTCGACGCCCTCGGTGCTGCGCGACCGCGACGCGCCCCTGAGCGCGGAGAGCCGGGCAGGGCTCTGCCCTCCGCGCGCACAAGGGGAAAAAAAACTACCTGTGGAAGTAATGCGCGCAGAAGAGACCGAGGAGCACAGTCCCCGGCGGTCCGAAGAGCGAGCCGGGCTGCCAGGCGAGAATCCCTGCGGACACTATGAACGAGGGCAGCTCCTGCAGGAACCAGGCGGCGCCGGCGGGCAGGCTGCTGGCCCCCGGCTCCAGGATCCAGTGCTTCCCGTAGGTGGAAGGCTCCGCGAAGTACAGAATCATCGCACCAGAGGCGACCAACGCGGCGCTACCTGCCAGTACCGGGCTCTCCTGGCACTCAACGGGCATCGCGCCGCGTTCACAGCCGGTGGCCGCCGCCCGCTCACAGGAGAGCGCGGCCCCCACGGCTCCTTTATGGAGCACGAGACGCCACCCCCATCCCGTGTCCGCCTCTTCGGCCTTGATTCCCGCCCCTCGGTCATGCCTCCCACCTTGGGACGGCCCTGGCAGCAATGCCCCTGGCAGCGATGCCCGTTTCGCAGGTCTGGCCCTTCGCGCTGCAGCCAGCGCACAGATTGAGGGCAAACGGAGGTTTTCGTGCAACCAGAGGGTCCTAGGGTCCCTTTCTCCGCCGCAGCACCTGGCCTCTCCACCGCGTTCCGCTTGTCCCGCCTGTAGACGGCCCCTGGATGACCCATCAGCTTCTGGGACCAAGCAATCAGAAAGAGAAAACCACCGGTGGCTTTTCCGTTCCGCCACACACCCTCAGTGCTATGGCCACACAGCCCCTACCTTCGAATTCCCAGGCCAGGACCTCCCCAACTCCCCCAGTCCCCTACTACCCTCCACTCCCCAACGACCCCATCCAACCCCGGACCCGGCATTCTGACGCTTCTAACGTCCACCGTTCCCCACTAAGCAGCAGTGCCAGCTCCGTCCCGCCACGCCTCTACCCCACCCTCAAGGAGGTACCATCCTCTAAGGCAGCTGCCTTAATTCCTCCGCGGTTCTTGTTTGCATCCCCTCGCTCTTGTGTCCCGGGGCTCCTGGCTCAGTGAGAGACTTGGTGGACGTGCATGAGTGCAGATACACCACCTCTGCTCCCTTCACTCCCCTGGGCTCCCAGGAACTGGTCCAACCGCAGGCTAAAGTCTAAAGTCTAGGACTTCTCCCGCGGGACACCCTCTCCCAGCTCTGGAGCTGGTGAGCTTGGTTCCATGTGGTGATGGCCTTGGAGATGTCACTACTCTTTGGACTCTTGTCCAGTCTTTGCCTGTTCTTTCTCGCTTCCATTTCCTCCCTCCATCCTCTCATTCTTCTACCACTTCTCTGATTCAGCGTCCTTTCTTGGCTGCCTCCTCCCCTGTATTGCACTCCCTCCTTTTCCTCTTCTCTCTTCTCTCCTCTCTCTCTCTCTCTCTCTCTCTCTCTCTCTCTCTCTCTCTCTCTCTCTCTCTCTCTCTCTCTCCCCCCATCTCCCCTCCTCTCCCCTCCCCTCCCCTCCCTGTCTCCTCTTCTCTCCTCTCCTCTCCTCTCTCTCCTCTCTCTGCTTTCTCCTTCTAGGTTTACCTCCTCTTCCCATCTGCAGCTGACCACAATCATACATCTTGTCCCACTTCCTTGATAATACCTATTTCCCCTCTGGTCCCTATGTGCAGCTTTACCTCAGGTTTTTCCTTTTCTCTCCCCTTATTTGTAGCTTTCTTCATCCTTTTTCCTTACCCCCAACTCACTGCCTGTGGAGCCCTCTCAGCATTTCCCCACCCACCCACTCAGGCCAGTCCTGCCAGGATTCAGTAGCTGTTCAAATGAAAGCAGGTCCCCTTATCTGCTCAGGAGTGAGGGTGTTTCCTGAATGCAGGGTCAGTGGCATATGGCATGACATTTAGTACTACAGGGTATTCTGCTTGCTGATCAAGAGGTATCACCATCTTTCTTTTGGGTTAAAAGTCATGCTTCAGTTTTTAACTTATCTCCACATAGGAATCACCCAGACTGTAGCATTTGCTACAGAACAACCGGGTGTCCTTATCACCCCTGCTTCCAGGTGTCCTTATTACCCCTGCTTCCAGGTGTTTTGACACTGGCTTAACCACACAGGTCCAGTCCGGGCTTCTCGGGTCTACCTGCTTGTTGAACATGTGCAAATGTAGATTGCCAGCAAAGACCTGAGCTTCAGATTTGCATTTTCTCCCTGCTAGTAAATTGGCCTTGGATGCCCTTCAAAGAGGTCAAGTTCAACCTTCCCCAAAACCAAATCCATTTATTCTCCCACGTCACCCATACCCAAATCCTCCCTCTATGTTCCTTGTTGTCACTTCTTTTCCTCAATACCCATAGCCTTTCTGGGAGGCTGGCTTGTTGAGTCAGAATTATAGATTTCATGACGTCATACAATATGAGGAGAACACGCAGTGTGGTATTCCCAACCCAGCTCAATGGAATAACATTGGCAGACTGGGATTTGAAATCAGGGCCTGTAGAAAAATCCTCTACCTCTTGAGACATGCCCTTTTATGCTTTATTTTTCATACAGAATCTGGTGTTTTGCCCAAGCTGGCCTTGAACCTTGATCTTCCCATCTCCACCTCACGCTTAGTAGAATAACTGCTTAGATGAAATTTCTTAGCCAGGTGCAGTCACTGTCACCCGTAACCCCAGCTACTCAGGAGACATAGGGAGGAGGACTGCAGTTGGAAGCCAGTTGGAAGCCAGTCCAGGCAAAAACAAAAGACCTATCTGAAAAAACCAGCTAAAGCAAAAAGGCCTAGGGACATGACCCAAGTGGTAGAATACTTCAAAGTGCAAGCCCCTGAGTTCAAATGCCAGTACTGCTGAGGAAGAGAAGGGAGAAGGGAAGGGAGAAGTGGGGTAGGGGAGGAGGAAGAGGGGGAGGAGGAGGGAGAGGGGGAGAGGAAGAGAAGAAAAGGGGAGAAGGGAGGTGGAAAAGAAAAGAAAAAGAAATTTCTCCTGTCTCAATTTCTTGCTCTATTTTTCCTAACTTGACCAGTTAGGTAGTTTGGTCTTCATTATCTTTTTTCCCACTAACTATAACAGTTTTTGCTGAATGACAAACTACTCTAAAAGTCAATGGCTTAATAAAATCTGTCACCTTCAGTTTCTGCACCTGTGAGTTGGCCAGGGGCCAACTGATCCAGGGTTGGATTAGCTGATCTTGACTGTTCCTTCATTCTTCTGTGGGGCATCAGACAGTTCAGCTGCAGGAAGGGTTTGGATCAGAAGCCTTAGCTGAGGCTCTCATGCTGGGATTAGTGAGCTAGCCCCACCAGTCTATACAATGTCAATAACAAAAATAAAATAAACACGCAAGTCCTCTTATGTCCCAGTTTTTTTTTCTATTGGCCAAATCAAGTCATGTGACAGACTCAATTCTAGGGTCAGAGTATTGCAAAGTTATATGGCAATGAACAAGGGTCTAGGGAGAGAATTGGAGCCAACAAGGCAATGTTCTGTATTGCATACAAAACGTGCCCAAATTATAAATTGGGCACTAATTATTGACTTGCACAAGTGAACAAACTCCCATAACCCACACCTGGGTCAAGAAACACATTGCCAACTTTTCAAGAGCTCCTCTTGGGCTCCTTACATCCCCTTCCCAGAATAACCACTTCCCTGACTTCAAACATCATAAATTAGTTTTTCCTGCTTCTGAACTTCATTTAAATGGGATCATACAGTATTTACTCTTTCTGTGTGTTTTAATGGTACTTGGAAGTTTTTTAATCAGGTATAGTAAGAACCACAGACATAGAAATAACTGCCATGATTCACAGATCTCTAGAAATAGGAAACCTGGCACACCCTACAAGACCACCAGAGGAATTAGGAGATAGCAGGATAGAGGGGGAAATGGGTCAGGCCAAATAAGCAGGTTAGGAATGGCTGCACTGATTACTTCCAGTGGCTCTGGGGTACAGGGGCTGTCTGTGGTTGTCTATCACCTGACTGTGGGCTGATTAAGGCAGGGATATATGACCCAGAGCTTGGCGGTCTGATAATGGTTTGTTTGATTTGCATATGAAAAGTATACACATTATAGTCATTTCCAGTCTCTAGAAATTAGCTAGCCCTGGGAGGGACAGTCCTCCAGTGTCAGCAAGACATGATTAATCCAGAGTATGTATGTGTGCATGCATGGGTGTGTGTGTGTGTGTGTGTAATCCATCCACATTGTTGCATATAGTTGTAATTTTTTTCTCAATTCCAGAATTCCAGCATTCTATTATGTCATAATACTACAGTTTAGAACTATTCTATTGTTGATGCATGTATTAGTAAGCTCAGGCTGTCATAACAAAACACCACAGCCTGAGTGGTTTAAGCAACAGAATTTACTTTCTTACATTTCTGGAAGCTAGAAATCCAAGATATGAGCAATTCAGTTTCTTATGAAAGTTTCTTTTGGCTTGCAGAGAGCTACCTTCTTGCTATGTCTTCACATGATCTTTATCTCCTTTCAAAGAGAGGGAGAGGGAGAGAGCAAGAGAGAGAACTCAGGTGTCTCTTCTCACAAGGATCCTGTGTTAGTCAGGTGTGACAAATACTGACAGAAACAACTTAAAAAGAAAAAAGATTTATTTTAGCTCATGGTTTCAGAGGTTTCAGTCCATAGTTGCATGTCCCAACATTGTGAGTATTTAACAAGACAGAGAATCATGAAAGAGAGGGTGTACTGGAGTAGAGATGTTTACCTCATGAAGACCAGGAGGAGAGAGAGCAACAGGAAGGGACTGGGGACAAGATACCCTTGAAGCACAGCCCCAGTGACCTGCTTCCTCCAACTTGGCTCACCTTTTAGTTTCCTACCACCTCTCAATATTGCTATCATGCTCCTTCAAGGGATTAATCCATTGATTAAGTCAAAGCCTTCGTGATCCAATCACCTCTCAATTATTGGGTTCATCTACTAGGGACCATGCCTCCAACACAAAGCCACTGAGAGAGGACACTTCATATCCAAACCATAATAGACACTAATCCTATCAGATCAGGTGTCACCTTTCTGACCTTATTCATATATGTATATGCACATATATATACAATGCACATACGTATATATGCATATGTGTGTATTTGTATAGATGTGTGTATATGCTGTTATATATACAGATATGTCTTAGTTCTGTCTGCTAACAGGACAAGAAACAAACTCTCACAGTGAGCATTCCCAGTGCCCAGATCTTAGTCTCTAATTCCATTTCCTACTAAAAATATCTAAAGTTCCTTGTAAAAATGGATGATGCAGGGTGGGTACAAAAAGAGGCTGGAGCATCTGGTTATACCAAAAATTATGAAAACCTGAATATTTCACAAAGAAATGATAT